GTCAGATTTTACAGAAGCAATTGTTGTATTACATAAGGTATCTTTTGATTTATTGTCCTGTATACTTCTCCAATATCAATTTTTATATCAGGTTCTTGTCAGCACAGTAAGGTAGACACTAACCAGTAGATCCATTGTTCCATCCTGGCATATTTATGACTGATGCAGATCAAAGAGACTCCCATTGAAAAAGCATATATATATACTCCAAATTTGAAATATACTGACCTCATGACTTGTGTTACAAATGTTGGAAATATAAAAGAACAGGCTTATACAGCTGTCCTTGAAACATTTCCTTCATTGCACACAGCAACACAAGTTTGAAATGCTGGTATCCAAGCAATGTGATATAAGATGTTTGATTCTCTATCTCTATAGATTTATAATTAATAATAAGCTTAAAACAATGTTTGTTGAAGTAGAAAGTCTAATTAAATAATGAAACTTTAATTAGATCAATTACAGATATTGGGAATTCTAAATTTACTTACTATTGAATTTTCTATTCTACATGCCTTCATGCTCACTATTGGAATTGTTTAAAAATGTACAAGATGTACGCATAGTCTTTGATCTATTGTTAACCTGTAGAAGAAGTTAAATTTTCATCAGTTGATAAGTTGATTATACTGAGTGGTATGAGTTTGTTTAATCTTAGATTGCCATCCTCCATTCTGCTGAATAGAATACTTTCTTCTGCTGTAGGAATTATCTTTGTTAACTTCTTTAAAGATGAATGAAGAAGTTGTGTATTCTTATCATACTGTATATTATTTGTTTTTAAAAACATTAACATTACATTAATAATACAAAAGATTTAAAGAAATCAATCATTGACCTTACATAGATTTCAAAAACAAAACCACATTTAGACCAATCTTAAACTGATTTAGCCCAAACCCCACAACAATTGCTTTGTTGATTGGTTGTGTCAGCCCTCAACTTACAGGAACAGCCATTTCTTTCAGGCATTACCATCAATTCGTATCAAAATAATAAATAGAATATAGGTCCAAACCTCACTTTGAACCTAAATAAAACCTAATTAGTTTAAATCTCATCAGTCCTCAACTTACTGGAACAGCCATTTGTTTCAGGGCATTATCTCTTCCATCAATTCATATCAAAATAATAAAAAGAAAATAGGTCCCAACCTGACTTTGAACCTAAATAAAACCTAATTAGCTTAAATCTCATCAGCACATATCAACCTTATCTATCTTAACCTCACTCAACAGTCTCAAAAGATGCCCAGTCTGTCTCGCCTCTAATTAAAACTGTTAAATGAAAGAAAACGGAATGGAATTACTAAATATAGACATGAAAACCAGACTCCTTGTCCTCTAATACTATTGATATTGTCACAAACTTTGGCAAATGAGGAGAAGAACCAGCCTCCTGTGACCAGTTCTAACTATTTTGATGTGATCAATCTCAGTCAATTACTGAGGATGTGAAATAATACGACACCAAAGTCTGGGGAATACACAAATACTAGAAATACAAATCAAAAAAATACTTCAAGATGGCAAGTGTTGAGTGAAAGAAAATAAAAATGGTTTGCAAATGTGACATAACTTGATCTTTATGGTCTCTGTAGATTTCTCTTGTTAAAATATTGAATAATAAAACTGACAGGAATCTGTTGTGTTTTAGAGAGTATCATTTTATAGGGCATCAGGCAATTTAAGATAATTCAAGATTATGTTGACACATCTTGTGATGTCCTTGTGTTCTCATGGTGTTTCTCTTCCTATGCATGCAAAAGTGGTCTTAGAAACTGCTACTTGTTAGCTATTTACTGTAAAAAAAAAAAACTTGTTTTCTATTCATGGATTTAAAATTGTAAATTTCAAACATTCTTGATTTCTTTTCACAAGTTCATTAACTGACAAAAAATTATTATTTTTTAATCTGGTGAAGGAGTTTTCTGTTGTATATATCATCAGTATAACACCTCTTCTGTTTTCTTAGTAGAATGCCATAGACTACTACTTGTTTTTTTTTCTATAGTATATACCATAAAGTAGGAATGAATGGAGCTACATACAATAGTTGATAAGTATATCTGTCTTACATGTATAAAGAGACTCTGATAGTTTCTACACATCTTCAACTTAGCCAGATGTTGTTTATAATCCAAAGCTCTATCTGTCTATCTATATCTATAGTTCATTTAACAATAGAAGATTTGTCCACAGCACTGTTACCTCAGCACCAAATTCATTTTCAGCAGCCAGTGGCAGCTTAGTGATTCAACTTCTGCTCATTTACCTATAGTTGAGATAGGGTTTTTTGTCAATGTGCTACAAGATGTGCATGCTTAGGATCCTCTAACTCTCTGAAAGAGTGTACATTCTTTGTAGCTGCAAAATGTCCCTCATGATACTTCTTCATTGGCCTATAAATCTGAAAAAACTGCAATTTCATTTCCAATTCATGGCGTTAAATTCACTTCAAGATTGCAATGAGGTTCACATTGGTGTTTCTTGCAGTTAATTGCTGTTTTCACATGAATATCACCCTTGATGCCAAAGTTTCAATTCAGGCAGGTAAGAATTTTGTATGATTGTACAGACTGTGTGAAACCCCCTAGCAATCAGAAATCAAAAACAGGATATCTGTAAAATATATTTAAAGTAGTCTATCTGACTTCCTGTATCTTGAAGAATTCTTGATATATTTTTGGCCTACCAATCAGATCTTAACTAGCTGTCAATCAAACAGTACACCTGTGTTATGTCAGTTGCTAATTAGGTTTTACTACCTGTTATTTATCTACTATTCACTGTTCTGCTTTGAATCCGTCTTTATCTAACATTTACCTGGCATCGTTTTTCATTTAAACATGATATTTATTAAAGCTACAATTCATGGTGATGAATTCATGGTCTTTGAGTTAAAGATTGATGTAATAGTTTGATTTCAGTGTTTTCTGTAATTTATTGCTCAATTCAACCTTTGAGCAACTGATAAACATGAAGTCTGAAAGTTCACAAGTGTTGAATTTAGGTAAAAAAGTTTGATCATGAGTTTATTTTAAAATACTAGGGTTTATATTTCTTGACAAGATTTTGAAAAACACTTATATAAGTACAAAACAATTTGTTGTTTAAATCTTTACTTATACCCATTCATAGAGTTTTTCTACTGGCGTGAATACTGTTAATTTGTGATAATCCGTTAATTTGAACTACATGTATGTACTTACTTATTCTTAAAATATCTTACCATGCACTTCCGTTATTGTAGCTGATTCAAATAGTTGATGCTATTCAAAGTTAGATATTTTAATGTGTGGTCTGCCTTTTCTTGATAAAATATTAATATTAATTTCATTGTTGAATTGTAAATGTGTTCTCTAGTGGTTGTAATAAAGTGAATTGAAAGACAGCAGATTATTTAAAATTTACTCCAGACAATTGTTAATGTTTTTATAGACATTATTCTAAATATCCTGGGAATTTCATTGCATTGTCATTTCCACTTATTTCAAATTCCTGTCTTTTATTTTTGTCCGTTGCAGAATAACATAATAACCTTTATTAAAAGTGCCATTTCAAGACCTACTTGTACATTATTATGAAGAGCTCGAACATCTCAATACCTCATTACAGCTGGATTCCAGCGCTAATTAGTCTTCATACAATTCTATAAATAGAAACAAAGACAGACACTAAGTATTAGTGCTGCCACCTGGCTTTAATACTCAGACGGATATAAGTTACATTGGAAGCTTATAGGTTAATTTGGTTGTAAAATAGTGGACAGGACTTGCAACAAATGTATTAATTAACGCCTCACTTACGTCTCTAATGAGCCTCTTTTCAGTCCAGTTCCTGATGGAAACTTGGCATAATAAGCGCGCTATGTCTGGCCCAATGTCTATATCAGGTCATTATAAGATAATTAATATTTGTGGAATTGTGATTGATGTGATAGAATTTATTCTAGACACGATCTTCAATCCAAAGAATTCCTGAAAAGAATGGTTTGGTTGTCCAGTAGGAAATAATAGTCCTATTGAATTTTATGACTGGGTGATTTTGACTATTCATAACATTATTTAAACTGCCTGCTGTTAGACTATATTATGTAAAATGATGGCAGAAAATTGCTATTCAGAAGCTGGTTTACACAATCGTATACCTTTACTTAATAGCATTATTTAAACAAAATTTATAATTATACAATTATATCATACATCATATACCAAAACTGTCATTTTCATGTTATCTTGGCGTGCAACTTCTCTTATCTTCGATCAGAATTAACGAAGTTCTTAAAACTAAAACAATTTACCTATAACATTATACGATATGATATTTACGCTCACAACACAATACCCATTACTAAAGTGATCATAGTAGTTCAGTCTGCAATTATATGACCAAATCATGTTTCAGCAAGCAATCTAGGCTAATCTGTACCAATATTGTGTTCAATAACACAGTAATATCAGTGGTCCCAGGAACCTCAAGATATAAAAAAAAAACTTTTCCATTGACCAACTAATCCTGCCATTACTAGTTATAGCGTATAGTAGAATTCAATGACATAAAAGTTTTGAACATTTGAAATACCTGCTCTGTGTAACTGGTGAAGACTGGTTTTGCTGGTTTTCGATGATCGTAAGCTTAAAAGAGTTATCTCCCATATGTATTTGCAGTTTAAGATGATGTCCAAAGAGAATTAAATTTGAATTTCTTGATTTGAACTGGTTGATTTGACACTCAAGAGATAAGTTTTATTCATATGATAGGGTTTTAAATTGCTTCTAAACAATAACAATACACAAAATACAAAATATTTCTTTGAATCCTAGAATAAATGAATTTTGTAATTGCATGAGTTTTAGATTTAAATTTCAAATATTATTTCAAGAATAGATTATATTTGAATCTAAAACCTTTTTTTTTTTTTCAATTTCATGATTTTTTTATGCTATACTTATTTAGTTTATTAGATGAATGAGTAATTTCTGTCCTTTATTCCAGCGCCACCAAGAATTATATCAAGTTCACCAAAATTATTACAGCCTCGCCGTGGAGATGATATAGAATTATTCTGTGAGGGGAAAGGCTCACCCCAGCCAACACTTACATGGCGGAAAGATTCAAGGGTGATAAAGGATACATTACGGTTAAAAGTGGAAGGAAATCGGGTAAAAATACAGAACCTTCAGAGAGATGATGGTGGGGTTTATACATGTACTTATATTAATTCAGTAGGAGAAATATCACAGCTTATCAAACTGGTTGTTGAAGGTAAGACATATTTTGATTCATCTAATTATTTTTATTCCCATCTGATAGAATTCTTTTTTAACCATGAACTTATCTGAACTAGACTTCTAGGTTTCCTTCAATTAAACAAAAATATAGCAAAGGTCCTAAGACAAGATCAGCGTTTCAGTGTAAGGTTTGATATTTTATAAACAGTCAATTACTAATTTTTACCTGAGCAACTGGTGAAGCAGTTGTTCCAAGTGACATCATAGTAGACCTAGACTTTCAGTCATAGAGTTCAAAGTATAATGACATTTTTTTTTATTTGCACACACTGTTCAAAGAGTTAATGCATTTTTTAAACTGTATTTTCTCATTATGGTTCTTCATATTTTAGAAACAAACTACCCCAGTTCACACACTATTCCCTGATTGGTAGGAAAAGAATGTATATGTTTATTATATCAAATAGCAGTATGACCAGTGACCGAGTACTAGGGTCATGATATATGATATAATATATAGTTTAGTAGGTCTAGTCATATTAATTACTGTTTATCATATATCATTATCTCACCTAATTAATAATCTAGCTAGTCTTATTTATTTTAACTTCAAATATTTGTTAAACGCCAAATAAGTGTTTGAACATATCATTTTTTATATACATACACCAAAATATAATATATGTCATTCATGCTAAGATACTGCACTTAGTGCCAGGAGAGACAATAAATTCTTTATCACCAACAACATAAGGCTTATTAAGTTGATCTTGTCCTTTGAGAAAGGTGGTTTCTCTCCTGAAGGTTCAGAGTTGATCTTTCCATAAGTCATGTTACAGATGTAATTCCCTTTTTTTATCGTGAATAAACAGAGGTTTGAGATTCCAGATAATAGTTGGCATATATATAGATTATCAATACAGTAAAAGTTTAATAAGCAAATAGACACATATAGGTTAAGATATAAATATTTGGGTGAGGTATGATTATGTAATTATTAAGGAATGGTAAATATAGGTTGTTTATCACACTAGAACTACAGGAGATCAGAATCATCTATTGTTTTCATGTCATGTCAGTTTAAAATATTTTAACATTGTCTTAGTGGGGTTCCTCAGTAACAGCTTGATGGTAGGTATGTGGTATATATATACTACACAGTCACCTTCAGTGTCAACAATATCTTGTTATAATGCCTAGATTTTTTGTGATCAGTCAAGAGATGTCTAAAGAGCTGCTCTATAGAGGCCAGAGCTAAAGAAAAAAATGTTAATCTGATGTAAAAATTTTGACATTTTGAACTTGCAGATGGCTATAGTGATGGAATTTGGTCAACTTTATTAATGGCTTTGTAGATGCTATTTTAGTTTAGAATAGGACTCAGAAAGTTAAGTTATTTTGAGGATTAAAATAGAAATACAAAAGAAACTTCACCTAGTCTTTATTGGACTTGATTAGGATTGATTTTGTAATATATGTAGTGTATGAAAACCAGTTAGTTTGGAGAGGAGTCATAAGGGCAAGGCTGTTCCCTATTCATGACTTATTCTCTTATGAATCAAATATATGATTAAACATGCATTAAGATGGTTGATCTTTTTTAGAGTAGAGTAGATAAATCTCGGATTCCTCTGACAAGCAATTGTGTTCTGGAATTGTTTCAAATATATCACAATTAATTAAACCATCTGTTTTAAATGTAAATCGTTTAAATTTAATGATTAATTTATCTTTAAAAAACAAAGTTAAAAAATATCTTTTAATGATTTAAATATTTAGATAAAATTAATGATACATCGGTTAATCTTATTATCTTATATTAAAATAGATTGATAAACAATTAATTCTCTTAAAATGACAATATTAACCCTTGTGTGGCCAATGTGTCAATGTTTCTTTATACCATTGTGTAACTGTTTAGGGGTCATTATGGCTCCAGGGCAAAAAACACCTTGTTTGTTTAATTTCTTGCCCCATTTCCTGTTTGATGTCTTTTGGAAATAAATTGAAGAAAGATTAAAATTTCAATGTGAGGAATTTGATGATTTGTTTTGTCCTGTATACCGTAATGAAGCTTTTTGATTCTATCTGGTTGATACACTAATCTTTGCATAGGTCTATTTTTGGTGGAGATTTTGTCCATATCAGGAACTAGATTTGAATTTTTCAGATTTGTGGTTAATAATGTTTTCCTGTTCAAATCTTTATGATATTCTCCTAGCAACCTTTACTAACTTAAAGCTAATAAAATGTAGACATGTCATGTTTGACTACAAGCATATTATAAATATTCTCAATGTTTAATGATAATAAAGTTCATGTTTACAAGATTAAATTATGCTAATACATCAAATCATTGCATAAAATCATACATAAGTCAGATTGATCATAAACATTGATTTAAGGTAAATCATGCTAGAACATCAATCATTGTATAGAGTAATCAAATCAGAACCTTTGATCTTTGTGATTGATTAACATTGTTTGTGTCAACATGTCAATATGCTGTATTGTAAACAGATACACACATATATTACCCTTTTGGAAATTGCTGATATAGAAAATTATTACTTGGCTAAGAATATTGTTGATAAATGATCTCATGAAAATTGTTCAATTCTTTAAATCACTCACATGTAGAATTAGTAAAAATTTATGTGCTAAACATTTGGTAATTAGCTGGGTTGTCTTATTTCTCATGAAATAAAAAAGTACAACTGGAAATTAGATCAAAATAAAATAATGACTTCAGTCATTTTTAAACGTTTTAGATGTTCCCTTGTTTCATCTGGTATTTAGTTTGGCATATCTTGAGTCTGCTGTCCTTCCTAGACTGTTACAAGTGAACTGTGTTGACAGTTATGTTGTTTACAGGTGTATACAACCCAGTGAAATCTAATCGGGGGGGGGCATAGGTAGTCCATTTATAAACAGACTGGTCAACGTTCAGTGATTATCATATCTAAACACCCCTCTGATTACTCAATAGACTAGCCGTAAATTTGAATGAAAGGGGGTTAGTTTATCTGTTGGCCCTCCTCTGTTATACGATAACTGTAATGGTGTGTGTGTTTCGTTGCCTGTTTTGGCTGTGTTAAGGAATTACATTATAAAATGTAATGGAAGCTCCCTTCCTAATCCTCTTATCTCTAATATTAAGTTATGGAATATTGGTTTCTGCCCAATCAACCACTCCAAGGGTCCCAGGTAAGCATTTTTTCTAATATTTACTCTTAGATTTATTGAGATTTAGCCAGGTGTGACCACATGTTTGAAATTTTGAAAAAAATCAAATATTTTTTGAGATAAGATCAAAAAGAGTTTTAAGTTTGTTTTGTTATCTCGTCTACATGTCTGTGTATTTTTGTCACCTTTGATGTTGATGAATCTTATTGATCGACCTATTCGCTGTTTCCCTCCAGTATTGTGGTTTGAGTAGATATATGTATCGTAAGAAATAAATGAATTTCAGATATTCAAAGAAGATTTTCAAGTCTGAGTATATATATATATATATATCAGTAACACTTCTGCTTGCTCAATGAGCTCCATTTCACAAAAAATGTTACAATAAGAATTTGCTGTAAGTGTGAATTTTTACATTGAAAAATACCAATACATACAAGTTGTAAGCTATGACAAAAATAAGATTTTTTGTTATAAAGGACCTTGATTTCTAATCTGGAAAATTGCTAGACAAAATATAAGTTAACTTGTTGAATGATGACATAGATGTTTTTATATATGGCTTTTTTTCTTTTCAACACAAATACATAACAGATTGTGATAGTACTTAGCTATGCAAACATTCAGATTGAGACACAGAGTTGACAAGCCCATTTGTGACATAAATTGTTCCTTAAGGTACATGCCTTTTTGTGTCTTGTACATCAACAGTCATCTCCTTATATTGTATAACAAAAACTTTGTCAGTGATTCCAATATATACACACAATATTTGAATTATGTTGACAAGACTTAGCTTGTCTGTTGGTTTTCGAAGTGTTGTGCTTCATCATTGAGTTTCTGAAGATTTATTAAAATTCAACAACTCATTTAAAATTCATTCTGATGTACTATGACATAACCATCATGATTTGATTACATGTCAATTAGACGTGTACAATCTCTTCTCGATAGGGTTAGTATTATCTTGTCAATTTTAATGCAAGATATTTCTAAATTTCCCACAGTTAATGCATGCATTGTATTGAAGATATTATACTGATATGTATTAATAATGAAAAAAAACTCCATTTAATGGGTGTTTTCAATTTTTTTTTCACAAATAATTGTAAGTCTGGTTAGATCATCCAGTATATTTTTGAAGCATTACATGACGAAAAATAGAAAAACTTTCTGCATGACCTGGTATTGATTCATGTAATTGACTTAGGATTAGTTTATAATACTGTGTTCAAAGTTTATTAATACTCACCAGTAATAAAACTGGGGCAAAAAGGTGTCCCTGGGTCATGAACTTATTCAATAAAATATTTTTAGGTCAATTTGAAAAATTTGAATTTTAACCCTATAGGCATTGTAACTGTCAATCCTTTTGTGAACTAAAGTATATTTTCACACATTCCTGATTTTGAGTGGAAAAACTGAGTGAGAATCTTTGGTGCATTTTGAGAATTGAGTGACCACCAAATCCAGAAGATTAAATCCTTCTTTTGGAAAATGGAATAAAATTTTTTTTTTCTGTAGAGCATAAAGAAGAATATGAGATAAATAAAAAAACAGCTATACTGGAATTTTTTTTTTCTTTATTTGAACCTTTTATTGTTTCCCATTTATTAATATTGTCATTTTGCAGTACAAGTTAATACTTGAAGGTACCTATAGATAGTAAAAATGATGTGACCAAACCAAGCCAAGCCCAGTTTATTTACTTATTAAATGTTTGAAATACCTAATTCTCACATTACATTGTATATGGTGTATATTTAGTTAAACCTTCTTCTTACCTATATATCATTGACACAGTTAGGTACATGATATTTGATATAGAGACAGCTATGGATGTTTGAT